TGGTCATGGTCAAGCTAACAATGGACTAGGTTTTCATGGCCATGGTCAAGCTAACAATGGACTAGGTTTTCATGGCCATGGTCAAGCTAACAATAGGCTAGGTTATTTTCATGGTCATGGTCAAGCTAATAATGGACTAGGTTTTCATGGCCACGGTCAGTGTTAGCTTGACCATGGCTATGAAAATAACCTAACTCATTGTTAGCTTGACCATGGCCGTGAAAAATAGTATCACGACTGTGGTGTTCATGAAAGACACTTAATTGGCTAGGTTTGACCGTGGTTAAATTGTTTACTTTACCATGACCTTGAAAGTTAAGACCACGGTCGTGAATTAGATGTACTTTACGTTCTATCCAAATTCATGGTCGTACCACGACCATGGTTGTGGCCTTGAAATTCGACAGAATCAATATCCTCATTCAATTTGCACGGGGATTGAAATTCGACTGAATCAAATTCACGGTCGTACCACGGACATTGACTTACGTAACTTTTGACCCACAAAAATACTCATAAAAATTCAGAAATTTCATTCACTCCAACTACATACATCATATTTCGGACAAATCGAAAACAATATTATGAACCAATAAAAAACTAACCTCGTTCAAGATGTCAAAGATGGAAAATTGACTTCCTTCAAGGTATTCATAAGATGTGAAAAATGTTGGAAAATGTGTGGAAGTTCTTCAAAAAAACGTGAAAGATGTGCATGAGGACGATAAGGATTGAAACATACTTTTATTCTTTGCAATCTGTGTGAATGTGTGAGTATATATTAAATGATAGTACAAAAAATTGGTGGGAAATTAATAAGTTGGTGGTACTTTAATAAATTCATGGCCATGAATCAAGTGGAACTCGCTCATGGTTTTAATTACATCAACCTATGTGGTTCCGTGCCAGATTCATTGTAGTTTAATTAAATCGGGGGTATATTCATAATTACATACTCTCTGAAATGGCAAAAAAATTAAAATTGGGTCAATTGAGTTAATTTTTATAATTGAGGTCAATGGAGCAAACTAAAACTTTTTTAGGTTATATATGTCATTTTCCTCTCTTTCCCTGCATTGGTAAAGTAACCCATTTTCTTTTCCAAATTACCCTTATTTTCCTTTCTTCACTCATTTGCCTCAGTTTTTTCCATATCTTCTTCCCCAAATTTCTGTACTTCATCTCCCATGGCTTCCTCCAAAGATTCTATCTCTATCATTTCCTCTCCATTATTTCTTCTCTCCAACATTTGTAATTTGGTTCTAGATCCTCTTGACTCGACTAATTTTGTTTTGTGGCGCTACCAAATCATTTATATTCTTAAGGTTCATTCGCTCTTTGACCATGTAGATGGATTGATTAAAGCTCCATCGAAGTATGTGTGTGCTTCCGACAGTACGCCTACTACTATGGTTAGTGATGTGTTTCTAAAGTGGAGTGCTTGTAACCAAGCGCTAATGACACTCCTCAATGCAACACTTTCTTTGTCTACACTAGGACATATGATTGGTGTTAGAATTTAAGCTAGATTCATTTCTATACACATGCATGAATCCCTAGATACATGAATTGTTAGGTTCATGTAAGATAATGTATTAAGATACATGAATAGTATGTATACATGTATCCATTTATTTTGTGTCTTTTAGATGTGTCTCTTGGATGTTATATAAAGGGATCATTTCCCTCATTTGTAATCAAGCAAGAAAGAAGCAAATTGAAGCATTTCAATCAAGAAAGAAAAGAGAACAATATTCTTTTATTGTATGTTCTTGAGTTTAATAAGAGAACAAAATTCTTCTCTTTAAAGTTGGTGAGTTTTAGAGTAAATTCTAGTGAGGGCTTATCAACGTTTCCAACAATTGGTTCGACTTTTTCTCATGAGTTGTCAATATCCTTGAAAAACGATATTCTTCTCAATCTCGTTCTCATATTTTGGAACTACGATCAGAATTATGCACCATCAAGAAGGTTCAATCAGAATCTATTGAACAATATACTCAGCGAATCAAGGTCATCATTGATAAACTTGCTATTTTCTTTGTATCTTTGGATTATGAGGAGATCCTAATTCACACATTGAATGGATTAACCTTCGACGTTTAATTCCTTTCGTGTCATACTTGAGGCTGAGGAACGATCTTTGAATCAACACACTAAGGCTTCTGAACTTCTTCCTATGGCTATAGTTGCTACTCATGGTACTTCTACCTTTCGAGGGGGAAATAATGGTGGTTCCTTCAATCGCGGCCGAAATAATTGAGGAAATGGTCGTGGTCATTTTCCTACCTTAGGTAAACGTTATTTTCACTTGTCGAACTCTTTGGAGATCAATTCTGGAAATACTTAAGGTAGTACTTTTCTTTCCTCTTTTGGCCGCATTATTTGCCAAATTTGTAACAAGCCAAACATAATGCTCTTGACTATTACCGTCAGATCAATTTTTTTTTTCAAGGTCGTCATCCTCCAGCGCAACTGCAGCAACGTTGATAAATTTTATGTCCACTGATTCTTCCCCATTGAATGTTTTTCGATTGTCTGATAGTGGTTGCAACACTCATCTCACTAATGATACGACAAATTTAAGCCTTGCAAATACTTATAATGGAGACGATACTGTCGTTGTTGGCAATGTGGCAACCCCTAAACATCACACATGCAATAGTATTCTTCCAACTCCATCTCATTTTTTCGCCCTTCCAAATGTCCTTCACTCCCCTAGAATAGCAACCAACTTGTTGTTCGTTCATAAATGTTGTCAAGATAATAATTGTTTGTTTATTTTTTACTCTGATTGGTTCATTATCCAAGACAAACTCACTGCCAAAATTTTGTACAAAGGTAGGAGTGACAATGGATTATATTCGATTCTCAACTCTCCTACGTCGTCATCACCCAAACATAATTCTTGTTTTGGCAAATAAAGAGTGTAATACTTGGTATTACAGGTTAGGTCATCCTTCCACAAAGGTTTGACATCAAACCTTGACTAGTATTGACTTTCTTCTCATGGTTCTTATTCTACTTGTGAATGTGTTAGTTGTTTGAAGGTTAAAATGTCAAAACTTTCATTTCATTTGTCTAAATTACTTACCTTATCTCCTCTTGAGGTTATGCATAGTGATGTGTGGGGTCGTCCCCGTTTACTTCTCTGGTTGCTTTTCATTACTATGTTAGTTTTATTGACGATTAGCAAGTTTACTTAAAATTTTCCTCTTTGTTATAAGTCTGAAGTGAGTACTATTTTTAAAAAATTTATTCCTTTTGTTGAAAATCTTTTGTCTTCCAAACTCAAAATTCTTTCGCTCGGATGGAGGAGGCAAGTTTCTTTGCTCCTTTATCTGTTCTTACTTTGATTTCAATGGTATCCTACACCAGAAATTTTGTCCCTATACTCCTGGGTAGAACGATTTAGTTGAGCATAAAACTTGTCATATTGTTCAAACTACTTTGTCCTTACTTTTCCGCTCCTCCGTTCCTTTTAAATTTTAATTTCATGCCTTCTTTACTGTTGGTTTTTTTTTTAATCAATAGAATTCCAAATGCTTATCTTGGTTTTATGCCACCTTTTGGAAAGCTTTTTTGGTCACACTCCAGACTATAAACATTTCAAAGTATTTGTGTGCATTTGTTATCCTCTTTTGAAACCCTACAATAAGCACAAACTTGAACCAAACTTCTCAACATGTTTTTCATAGCTATATTCTTGACTACAGGTACTATATTTGATATAACATGGACACCAAGAAAACCACTGTATCTCAACATGTTACTTTCCATGAACCCATATTTCCTTTTGTCAATTCCTCATCGCTTCATCTACCACTTATAATCCAGGTTTGACTTCTAAGTTTGATGACACTACTATTCTTTCCCAGTTATTGTTCCTTTCTACCCAACCTTCACCTACTCAGCCTACTTTTCCCTTAACTTCTCCCGCTGCCACTTCACCAACTTTCCCTATCACTTCTACCTCTATTTCACTCCCTTCTGAGCCACCGCCATAGCCACCAACCAATTCTGCCTGTATTGTATCTTCAAGTGCATATCCAATGCAAACAAGTTTTTAGTCTAGAATTTTCAAAAAGAAAGTGTTACTCAGCTTGATGTTAAAAATGCATTTCTCCAAGGCCTTTTGAAAGAAGAGGTTTATATGTGTTAGTTAACTCAAAGCTACAAATACAAAGTTTGAATGTTAGTTTTGAATTGGTTTGGTCAAAGACCTAGTTTTTAGGAAGTTGTTGATATTCCTTTTTTAGTTGTAGTCAAGTCTAAGTTGCTATTGAAAAGCTCTTGTGCTGCATCTTTATTTTGAACAACTCATTTACACTGGTATCAGAACCTTAAATTCTTAAGGGATCTGTGAGTAAGGACTAGTGAAATATTTTCGAGAGAAACTAAGTGATACACCTGTGAGAGTTTTGTCCAATGGAGTTTGGATCAAACAATCTTTCTTCACTGGCTCCACCTGTGTTTGATGGTGAAAACTATCAAGCATGGACAATCAGAATACAAGCCTACATGGAGGGTTGTGATTATTGGGAAGCAATTGAGCAAGATTATGAAATTGCTCCACTTCCTGATAATCCAACAATGCATCAGATCAAGACTCACAAGGTGAGGGTCACCAGGAAGGCAAAGGCTCGAGCTTGCCTATATGCAGCTGTGTCTCCCACCATATTCAACAGAATTATGGCATTGAAGTCAGCAAAGGAGATCTGGGAGTTCCTCAAAAGTGAGTATGAAGGTGATGAGAGGACTAAAGGCATGACGGTGTTGAACTTAGTGAGGGAATTCGAGAGAATGCAGATGAAGGATTCTGAGTCCATCAAAGAGTACTCAGACAAGTTGATCGGGATTGCTAACAAGGCACGAGCATTAGGAACTGATCTATCTGACAATAGATTGGTTCAGAAGATTCTGGTTTCAGTACCTGAGAGATATGAAGCAACCATTGCTTCCTTAGAGAATACTAAAGATCTCTCCAAGCTCAAAGTGATAGAAGTTGTTAGTGCTTTGCAAGCACAGGAGCAGAGGAGGTTGATGAGGCAAGAAGGAAGCATTGAGGGGGCACTGAAAGCTAGAATGCAGCAGGGAGAAGGTGGAAGAGAGAAGAAGTGGAAAGGGAAGAAGGCGAGTGGCAGCA